GCCGCGTAGCGGCGGCGAACGGCTAGTCTTACCCCCCTATGTGGAGTGTGGTCTGCGTCCGTCAGTCCGTCCGTAACGGGCTAGGGTTAATAATCCTCACGCTAATACGCGCGTTCTACTGGCTGCCGAGCGCAGCGAAGGCGGCCTCGATTCGCTAAAATTGCGATATGTGGTGTACACACTGTATGTGGTCTACACATCGTACTTAAATGCACCTTTCAAATTTCATTTTGCCCCCATTTTTAACGCTGGAGCGCCACCTCACGCAAAGGGCGCTGCGTGTGTGCGGGTTAATTTGCATTGGTAGGCTTCGCCGACGTGCACACCGGTACTATTATATCGTCGTAGGCGCTGTTGATTTTTTTTAGACCCTGGCGACACCACTGGATCGCATTTTAGCAAAGTAGTAATTCAACACTTCGAAATACTTAGTTTAATACTTAAAAAATAATATTACTAATTTAATAAAATCGTTTCTAATAAAACATTTCTCCAATGGAACGTTTACCTCCCATGTGCTCGACGTGCCAGGCGGTCATTGTGCACCCCCCGCTCGAGCCAGACGGTCTCGGGCTGCAGCTCCGGCTGTGCGCCTGTTGCGAACAATTCTTAGCATGGGATGCATTCGCACAGGGCCAGGCTCGAGCGGGTGCCCGCAGGTGCATCGCGTGCGCCTCTGGTCCATACAGCCAGGCGTTTTGGCACCGCCCACGCACACCAGAACCGAAGCCAGCCACTGATTCGCGCCAACAAAGCCTGGCCTTAGTTGCCGCCGCTATGGGGCCCCCACAACCGCCGCGGCGTGTTGTCCAGGAGCGCATTAATCGCCGCCGTCGTCGCTGGAAACCTCGCCAGCGCAACAAACATCCGCGTAATCACCAGAAAAACTGATTGGCTAAAAATAAACGTTTTCCATTGGTCACAATTACTTTCGTGTTTAGGTGCGTTGTATGGGAGCTTAGGACAGGGCGTGAGCCTAGGTGAAGGTGCGAGCTTATCGAACTGTATTTGTAGGGCAGAAAGAAACAGTATGTACGATGGAGGGGAAACAAATATGAGCACAGAGCTACAAAGCACGGAAGCGGGCCGATGCAATTAACATGTAAATCTATGAAAGCACTGAGAGTCACGGACTCTGTTAGACTTTCTACCTAAAACCGGGCTAGAACACGTAGCTGCTACAAAGCACGGAAATCACCTACGATACAACACGGTAGACCACGAAGCACGGTAAAATACGAAGCACAAACGGCAGATCAACCGGGACACCACAAGATAACTAGATAGTATGGTCTGGGCCACTATGCCATGGGAGAACGCAGCCGCGGAGCTATAGTCAGAAAATCTTCGAGCCGCGGAGATCGATACAAGTGTAGAACCTGAGCTTACCGAGCCACGGAGAACCGTAGTACATGGGAACACGATTTAACGGACGTCGGACCAGCCACAAAAAACACGAGGGGGGGGGAGAGGGAGGGGGCACGTGTGGGGTGGCCATGATTGCACACCGTGGAGCACGATGCCATTGTAGAACACGATAACACGGGCAACGCAGATGCACTACGCGAGCACAATACCATAGACAGCATTACCACACCGTGATTGCACGATAGCGTGATTCCGCGGTCGATGACACTTCATAAGGAGATCACGATGCACGGGCGACGGAACCACGACTGCATGGAGGCACCAAAGCACGGAATAGCACCCTTTGGTTAGAGCACCGGCGATGGAAGGCCAATGGTAACGAAATAGTATCTACCACGAAGCCAGTGCAACCCACGTAAACGTTTGAGAACGGAAAACAGTTCGCTTTAACGAAAAGACCGTACTAAAGAGCATGAACCCACAAGAGAGAGGACAGAACCGCTGAGCAGCGTGGGCCATGGGAGAGCAGGAGCCTCGAAGCCGGGAAGAGCACGAAAGAGCATGGACCATTGAAGAAAACAACACCCAACCTGTAGTACGGGGTAACGGAAACGTTCCAAACCACGATATTATACGGGGCCGAATGAGACTACGGAAAGGCAAGTGGTTAAATACACGATGCCAAGATCTACGGGGTGAACCACGCTCTCAAAACACGCGACACCAAGAAGCACTAAGGTTGCGGCCACCTCATCTCCAACAAACCATGCCACTCCGCCGCGTAGCGGCGGCGAACGGCTAGTCTTAAACATCTACTGCAGCAACCTGTCTGTCCGTCACACTAAATTGTCGTGCCTGTCACGCTTTTCCGGACAAATCATTGGATTAAATAATTTAAATATTTCTACTGGCTGACGAGCGCAGCGAAGGTGTCTTCAATTGGTTAAAACTAGATTGTGTAGTTGACATCAATAAATGCATGTGTTTCCCAGTTTACATATGGGGATTTGCACAAGGCTATACATTATCCGAAGGCGGCATCGTTTAAATATTATATACTTTTTCATAATGCAAGTTGTTATTGTACTAAATACTCTGTACTCAGTAGGATCTGCGTGTTACACTGACTAAAATGACAATTTCAATTTTTTTACTGTAAAAATATTAGCATTAATAAGTTATCTGAGTGGGTTTCTGGTATTGCTAAATCGTACATGCTACATGTACAGCAGTAGCCGGTCGTGTAGACTGGCCGTAAGAACAGAACTGTGCTTATAAACGTTGTCACTTGATCCACAAAAATAGATAGTGTTAGATTGACGTGTGAACAAAAAGAAGTTATATGTGCTGATGACAATTACTACTGTAAGCGAATTGAACTTAACCATTGTTTCCTAAGCGGTTTTTTAGACAACAAAATTCTGATACTTCTTAATAGGTAGACGCGTTGCCGACAAGGGCGTAGAATAAGGTTTTATATGCAGGGGTAAGATAACAGCACAACATGAGAGGTGTCTATTATGGTTATTATAAGTAGGCCCGTAAAGAAACATTAATCAACTTAGAGCCTAATCCATCCTGGAATCATCAATTAAGTATCAAATAAAAATACCGCCGTCAACAACAACGACAGCAAGGCGTCTTGCGACGTATCGTTATATCCAAAGGCTATAACCATAACAGGCACAGATTGGAGTGTCTAATGGCTAATTCTGAATCAGCACAAAATGAACACACTTCAAGGCATAAAAAATGATACAGCTCGAATATTTTTATTAAATATTCAAACTGTAACACTTTTAATTTTCTTTCAAAGTAGCGAGTTTGGTTTGCGAAGTGGTTAATAGTCAGTTTATTACAAGCTTAACCAGGCAGTACAAGCGGGTATTTGATGCAAGCTGGACAGATATTCTTTGCATTGATGCAATCTAGGATTCAGAAACGGCCCGTGAAATCGAGCACGACGCTAAACTAGATATATTATTTAGCGGTTTTAGACTGAAGTGCAGGTGCATCTGGGTGGAAGACTAAGGTACAGTGATAGCCAACAACAATAAAGAGACTTTGCCAAGATCACTAGCGTAATCGTTTATGAGCATGGTAAGTATGATGCTAGGGGCTCAGTCTTTGTACCGGTAGAAATATTTACACGGCTTACTGGGAACTCAGCATTTTGTAGCAAATGAAACGCAGATTTATAAAATTAAAGAAGTCGATTTAGGCACATTGGGACTCAGAGGATTTGGACTAATTATCCGAAGCGAAGGCGGGAAGGCAAAAATCTGGAGTAAAACCGAAATTACCGCCGCGTAGCGGCGGCGCTCGGCTAGTCAACATTAACTGGCGCACCAACCAGGCATTGTATTATTCTCCAGAGCTACTTGCAACGACCAATGCTCGTACTATTTGTTTCCCGATTATTGGGAACAGGATCCGAATGCCGCGTTTTTGTCATGAGCTCTGGACAAATTTTGATGGATCTTGTGCTCCTGATGACGCCAAAGGCAGAAATTTGGGTTGCTGCACGTACACACCGTGACACGTGTTCGTGACGTCCAGCGTCGCTTTCCGAACGCAACATTGGATTTAACACTTTTAGAAAGTCAAGAAGACATGCAAATATGTCGAGGAGGACTCACGTCCCTCGGGTTCAAACGCTCGGATGTGAGTGCCATCGTACGTGCTCGAAACTGTGTTGGGAAAGGAACAACCCGCTCTTGCGAAACAGTTTTCGTCGAAGATTATCGATACGAAACCGGATTATTAACTTCGGACGTTGTGCAGTGGTATAAAGTAGTGGCAGCTCTGAGAAGCATCGGACAAGGCTACTTCTTGTTACGTGGTCTCGGATAGATGCTCAGTTGCTACTTCGTTCACGGTGTTACCAAATTTCAGAAGAAAATACCCACCTGGACTCGAATGCGCAAAGCTCGCCATCTATTTATGAAGGTCCCGACGCAATGCGTAGTGTTCGGTAGTCCGTTCCCCGTGTCGTGCTATGTTTTGGCTCATTTACTGAACGCTCCTTTTACGTACGACGTGCTAGAAAGCCATTTTTTCTCTCAAGGTGGCGTGTTGGACATCCATCTCGAAGCGTTCATCTCCTATGCTGTTGTTCAGATGCGTAACGTGTGGATATACGCGTTGCTTTGGCACATGGTGGTGACTGTAACAACCTCACGTTGGCTAGCACGCAGTAACCAATCGAACAGCGGTATTATTGGCGTCCCGGAATTTTTACTAAGCGCATTTTCAAGTATCACGTTGATCGCGCAGTATCGCTCGACATCGTTTAGATCGTCTAAAATTCTTAGAATGATGGTACTTCCTTCTAATTTAAGTCGAGCGTGGGTGACTACGAAATACCAGTACAGCTTCGCGCATCGAGGAAGTGGCAGTGTGTTACTCGGCGGTGTGATTATAGATTTGAAATTTCTAATTTGCTTCGTGCTCGTCGTTGCTGGAACGTGGGTAGTTCGCGTCTTATGGCTGAAGTGTCTGACAGCTCAAGACGTTGAACAGAGAGATCGATTCTCGCAGTGGTTTTTCTAGCTCCGACTCCTGTGCCGTACTCGGCTGGAGTCTTATGGCCTACTGTGAGTATGTGTGTTCATTGGACAAGCGATTTCTTTTGTATCCGAGATGAGACGTATCAACGACGTAAACAACAATTGCAAGTACCGCAACGAAAACCGAACTATGGGGACGGACGAGTGATTCCCTTTACCGCCAGTTTTCAGTCGAAGCAAGTCGTAGCCGAAGAAATGCGACTACCAGTCAGAAAATACAAATACAGTGCCCCTACTGCACGTATAAATATGAATACTTTCCGGTATATCCAGCATCAAATGAAGTGTTTACATGGCCGATCCGATGATGTCGAAGCGAACGTTGCATTCATGAACGCCGTGCTAATGAGTGACCCTATCGCGTATCTGCGAACTGTACTTGGGCAAGATCCATCGACTGAATTGGCTTATTATCAATCGCTCTTGCGTCCGCGGCAGGTCGTTCTTCTGCCTGTAGTCGTGGTGGGAGATCACAACGAGTACACGGGAAAGTTGAAGCTACTTCGACGAGTTAATGCGTCGGAACTCACTTGGCCGGAACTCGTACAATGCGGATGAAGACGAGATGGTTTTGCTCAAAAAAAATTTAAAACATTTTCTTATATAAGAGTATCGAAGATTGAAACAATCCGTTATTGTCAGAAATGGTTGAGAGCGACCAGCATGGACACAAACACTTATCAAGTACGTCTTCTGCTTACCACGGCTCCTCGAACGTGCCGAACGGATACTCGCCCGTGTTGAGTGAGAAGGTTGCACCGAGCGGGTTGGCCACGGCCGTCTCGTTGTATACGTCGCAGTCCGTCTCCGGTTTGATGGCCACCACGTATTCGCAGTCCTCGGCCACCTTCTTGAGCCCGTGACCCACCTGTGGGTAGTAAACACTCTAGTCGTCAGATGTGAGTGTGAAGTTGACGTTCTGTGTCTGACCAGGCTCAAGACTGATCTTGGAGAACTTCTTGAGCTGCTTCATCTCCGGCACGCTCAGCGAGTTGTACGGCTGGAGGAGGAAGAGCATGACGGTCTCCTTTCCGGCTTCACTACCAGCGTTCGTAGCGTCCACAGACACCACGACGTCTTCCGCCAAAGACGTGACGACGTTGCGGCTCAGACGCACTTCAGCGTAGGTGAACTCGGTGTAGCTGAGACCCGTTCCGAAATCCCACTGGTTCTCGCAGTAATAAGCACCGTCGGACTCCTGCGTCTGGCACATGTGTTGGAATTCACATTGGAGACCAGTCACAACGAGACATGGACACACTGGATGAGAATCAGGTGGGCCAGGACATTCGGGATGAGAATCAGTTGGGCAAGGTCATTGTATGGGAGCGGGTTGAATCCGTTAGTGTTGGTAGGAGCTCTGGAGGAGCGTGAGCTAGCACTTAAATAATTCAGTCTTCATTTTACTTTCACAAGTCCAGAGTGCTGCCAAACGGAACGGAGTTCCAATAGGGTTCTGAGCCCAAATGACGAAGCCCCTGAAGTACTCGAGTGAAGGAGTCCCTAAGAACTGGGATGGTAAGGATTGGCAGACGTACAAGTGTTCCCAGAAGAACGTCTTCAAGGAACAAGACCTCAAGGACATCGTAGTCGGAGATTTGACCTTAGCGATGCTTGCTACTGCAAGTGCAGAGAAGCAAGAGGAGTTCAAGAAGAAGCAGTTGAAGATCATGCGCTTGATTGGTACATCGGTACCGGCAGACGTGCTACATCAACTACGTGACAAGGAGACCGGATCGGAGATGTGGAGTGAGCTCTGCAGCCTTTACGAAGGAAAGCAGAACGAAGCCATCAAGGCGTACACGATCCGTCGCGTGGAGAATGAGCTTAGGAGTATGAAGCTCGCACCTGGAGGAGACGCCAACCTCCATCTTTGCAAAATGTTCAATCTCAAGACTGTGTTGGCCGACTTGAATCATACGGTTGCAGATACCACGATGGTGGATATGCTACTGGAGAGTTTGCCTGATCAACTGGAGTTTGAGCATCTGAAGTCTTCGATATACTACGGCGCAGGCCCGAGTGTCTACACACCTAACAAGGTTCGAGAGCTGATTCTTGCGGCGACGGCTCGGCAGAAAGAGTTTCGAGCTAAGCGCAGTGTGAAGAAGGGTAGCCCGCGAGGAAGACATGGCAAAGGCAGTGAGAGCAGAAAAGGCTTTCACGAGGACAAGACTGGTGACCCCAAGAGAGTTAGAAGATGCTTTACTTGTGGCAGTGAAGATCACCTACGTGTCGATTGTCCTGAGAAGTCGAAGGAGAAAGAGAAAGCTGACGACGCAGAGAAAAAGCGTAAGCCGCGCAGTTGCTGTACCCTACGACAAGAAACCACTGGACCAGTGCAGATGAACCGCGAGCGGGATGAGGGTGTTGTGGCAGGAGTCACAAGTTCTCGTGAAATATACGGGATTCCTCGGGAGCTCGATGAAGCAAATGGAGTGCACTGATGATGTACGTGGCATTAGAATCGTGAGCGACGATGAAGCAGCAAGTGATGGAAACCCGGTGAACGATCATGAGTCAGATAGTGGTGAATCACATCTGGAGGACAGTGATCAAGTAACACAAGGTCTCGATGGTGGGTGGTGGTATCTGGATACGGCCTCCAACTCGCACGTCACGGGGAATTTCGCTGAGTTCATGTCGTACACGGTAGACTCGGAGCAGCTACAGCAGACCCGAGGAGTTACGCCTACGATTGCTTCCCGTGTTGCTGGAATGGGAACAGTGTCGTTCACGACAGAGGTTAATGGAGAACAAGTAGTGAGCTATCTCGACGGAGTGTTGTACATTCCGGATGCCGAGTATGGTTTGTTTTCTCCTGTTTTAGCCTACGAGCAGGGTTATACTCTGGAATATGACAGAGAATCGAGGAATTTTCACGTCATGAGAGATGGAAGGACTGTGGCTGTAGCAACGCAGCAGGAGGCCACTTGGGGGTTCCAAGTAGCGAGTCCGACCCAGAGAGCTCGAGTGCTACCAGAAGCAGCAGCAAGATGTAATCACACTATGGCAGAAGGTGTTGGTTCGCTGCAGCTTTGGCATGAGAGACTGTGTCATATCTGTCCACAGTATTTGACGACTATGGTCGACAAGGGTGGAGGGAATGATGGTGACACAGAGACAGCAAGATACGTGTGATGCCTGTCATCTTGTAAAACAAAAGATGAAATCACACAGGAAGATGCTGGACCGTGGACTGAAGAAACCCAACCAAGTAGTGTATGCGGATCTTCTGATTCCAGGGAAGAATAATGCGACTCAATATGAGGCCGTGTTGGTGATCATGGATAGTTATTCGCGGTTTGTCACTGCGCACCTGCTGAGGAACAAGGACAGCAAGGTGGTGAACAAGTACATGCAAGAGTATGTGTTGTGGGCGGAACGGCAGGCAGGCCGAAATGCCAACGGGAAAACATACAGAGTGCAGCAGATTTGGAGTGACAAGGGCGGTGAATTCTTCAATGAAGGAATTGATGCATGGTATCGTTCAAGAGGAATTGAGCATGTGAAAGTCGGGCCGAAGAGCTCGCAGCTCAATTTGTGTGAACGAACGCACCAATCGTTGGAGGACATAACTAGGTCTACGATGGCACACTCGGGGCTACCGAGGAGCCTGTGGCCTGAGGCACTGAGAAATGCAGTGTATGTCAAGAATAGTGTGTACAACAAGGGGACTAATGGCATTCCGTACGAGATGCTGTTTGGAGTCAAGCCGAATGTACACCACATCCGGAAGTTTGGAGCGCTGACGTACGTGCACGTACCAGTGACTCCTGGACGCAAGAAACTGAGTATTCATGCGAAGATTGGGTTTGTATTGGGGTATGCTGAGAATGTAGTTGGCTGCAAAGTGTACTTTTCTGATGAGCACACAGCAAAGTTTGTGTCAGATCTGCGTGTTGCAGAGGATGTTATGTATCGGGACCGATATACAACGGAAGTGGAAGACGACGATCTCTCTTCACTTCACTTTACTCATCGAGAAGATGAGGACCAGACCGTTTTGAGCGAGCTGAGTGATGTACCATCTTTTGAGCTCGAGGAAGGCGAGAGTGTGGATGCTTGCGTGGATGCTGTGCAGACACAGGAAGGCGAGCGTACTGACGTACATACGCAGGTTGGACGAGAAATGCACCAAGTGTATGATCAACCTGTCCACCATGCCGATAGCGAAGTGGATGGAGATGTTCATTTGAATGGTGATGTTCAACTCAAGGTTACTGAGGACGGTACTGAGACTGTTCAAGTAGGCAGTGACGCCGTTGAGAACGATGAACATGGTGATGTTGTTACTGAAAGTGTACAACATGAAGGCAGTCAACCGAGTGAGGCTAGCAAAGGTGCAAGTGTCGACACTGGTCAAGCAGCTGAGGGCGAGAATGTCCATGAAGCGGCTGAGGGTGTTGGCATAGCAGATGCGGACGCTATATCGGTGGCTGGAACCTGTGGATCGGAAGTAGTTGACCATAAGCTGGATGACGCCGAAGAGCAAGATGGTAATGAAGAGACCACAGTAGCGAGTGTCTTTGCTGAGGACCAGAGTAGCAATGATGCGGAGCTAGAGAGTGACACTGGTGAGGACACACTACCTGAAGCTGAGCCAGACAGAGATGTGGTGGGGATAAGTCCTGAGGTAACAGTGACTGGCAAGCGTATGCATCGAGATGAGACTCCTTCAGAGGAGGTTCGTGCAGAGCTGGATGCGGATAAGACAAACGTGAAGAAGACACGGACTGGACTACGAGAAGTTCACAAGCGTCGACGTCCGGCGTATCTCGATGACTACATGGTGAACGTGACGATGAATTCCTCACGTGTACTGGATAAGAATGGAAGACCCATTCGTGCAAGTGAGATCAAAGTTCCACGTAATCGTCGTGAGATGATACGGTCGAAGTGGTGTGACTTCTTCATGATGTCCGAGATGGAAGAGCTTGCAGTTTTGAAGAAGAAAGGAGGGACTGCCGAGATTCCTGCGGATGAAATGCCGGAGGAAGCATCACCCGTGAGCACGATGTGGGTATATGACATCAAGACCGACCATCAAGGATATGTGATTCGTTTCAAGTCGCGCATAGTGGCGCTGGGTAACTATCAAAGACCCGGGATTGACTTTAAGGAGACGTTTGCACCAGTGGCGAGGATGTCGTCGTTCAGATTGCTGTTGGCATTAGCAGCGCAGCTGGGATTAATGGTGTATGGCGGAGATATTAACACCGCATACTTGAATGCCCGGTTGGAGATCCAGCAGTACTTGAGATCCATTGAAGGATACCCATGCAAGATCAACGGATATGTTTATATCGTGTTGAAGGCGCTATATGGTTTGCATCAGTCAGGTCGCGAGTGGAACTCGGAGCTGAACAACTGGTTGATGAAGCACGGATAGATGCGGTCGTTGACGGAACCGTGTCTGTACTATCGTTTTGACGGAGATACGATCATGTATGTGCTAGTGTATGTTGATGACATACTGGTTGCAACGAATGACGAGCAGGGCAAGAAGGACTTGTTCGCGCAGCTGGACAAGGAGTACGGGATTAAGGATCAAGGCCTGTTGAATGAGTACCTGGGTAGCAAACGACTGAGAGAATCACAATATACCAAGGGTAATATGCACGAGAGATCCTGAGCAAGTTCGGGTACCAGAATGCCCATGCGGTTGGAAATCCGATGGAAGTGAGCTTGCGGTTGGCACCAATGAGCGATGAGGAGACAGGAGATACGAGTTTTCCCTATCGAGAGGCTATTGGAATGCTGATGTACTTGGCAACGAGCACCAGACCTGATTTGGCGTTCGTGGTGGGTCAACTGAGTCGGTTTGTGGGCAAACCGTCTGCGAAACATGTTGGAAGTCTGAAGAGAGTACTGCGGTACGTAGCAGGAACGCTTGACTATGGAATCACGTACACAAGAACGCAAGGAGCAACTAGGGAAGTTGTACTTGAAGGGTATTGTGACAGCGACTGGGCAATTGATCCAGAGCAGCGGAAGAGCACAACGGGGTTTGTGTTCATGTTGTCTGGAGGAGCTATTGCCTGGATGTCACGGCGGCAGTCGATTATTGCGTTATCGACGGCTGAGGCGGAGTATGTGGCGGCCTGCGAGGCTACTATGGAAGCTGTAGCAGAGAAGAACATTCTGCAGGAAATATTACCAGATCATGAGGTCAAGTTACGAATTGGTATTGACAACCAAGCAGCTCATGTG